GGAATGCATAACTTTTTTTGTTTCAACAACGTCTCACCCAGCACAGTGGTCGTAAACTCTTAAATATATTTTACGTAGTAATAAAAATATAACTTGACATACGTATTTATAAATAATTTATATTCAAATTACATCATTTCTATGACCAAGGGCGGCGTAAGGCACGGGCGAGGTGGGCCACCGCCTATGCCTCGCGGTCCGAAGGGCCTCGCGACTCGAAGGTTTATGCATTACTTAAAAACAGTTAACGCGACAAAAAAAATTTTACTGGTCATAAGACGATAATTAGTTTGTCAAATTTTTATTCATAAAAATGCAGTTTCAACTGCTTTTTATTTTATAAAATCTGTCTTCTTGCACCACCAGAGGGCCTTTTAATTAAACAATAGGTAGTCTGTTAGCATTGATCAGTAGTAGTCCAAATTCAATACGAATGTTTGTTTCTTAAAAATTTGATCACGATTTAAGTACAGTATTTACTTTTAATATTACTGATATGTCATCGAAAAGAAAACATGTTGTATCATCATTAAAAGACAAATTAAAGTATTTGTTTCGATTATCCGAATTTTTCCTTATCCGAACTACCTTCATCCCCAATTAGTCCGGATAATCGAGGTTCTACTGTATTAAAAAAAACAAAGCATTCAAATTTATGTAATACAAAAATTAAATAAACTGAAACCACGGTTGTGCAGATCAATGGAAATGCACTTGCGGGTTATTCAAACTTACAAAAACATAAAAAATAAATGAAAAATACAAACAAATAAATGTAAAATAAATAGTGCCGTCCACGAGGATACATATGTTAACTTGTGTTATTATAAAAGGACTTCCGAGCAGTGGATAATCCATCAGCATCCCTGTGATTAATGCATTCCGTGGTAATATGTGCTTTGTCTATTTCCATTTTTTCAAGATGCCTCACAGCTTGTATAGATCTCATAGTTCTAATGATTGCTGCTCGATCCCAGAATATGGTGATATCCTGTTGTTTGGCAAATGCTGCAAGTACAGTACTATCAATGCTCCTACTCACAAAGTATTTTTGTTCATTTATCCTTTGTTTTAAGCTCCACATAGTTGCCCCAATATGCACGGGGTCAGAGTTAAATGAAGACTGCTAAAATGGGTCAAAAATGTTTTTATCGAATTAAACATTTTGCTGAACCATTAAAAAGGTGTTATTTATATTATTATTAAATTATTTGGAATATTATAAATTTTATTGTACAATATCTTAAATTACTTCTACATATACATAGACAAAGTTATTCTACATTTAACAAAAAGATATAATCTGAATTACTTGTAGAAACTTGTATGCCATAACTAAAAGAAATTCAGTAAGCATTTAGCATAAAATGTATAAACTTAAATAAAATGTTTATAAAAATAGAGAGTTAAGGAAAAATCTATGATGCAGGTGTTTTATGGATATAAGCCACATTTAAAATAAATGTTTAATATTATATCTTAACTCTTAAATTTACCTATAAAGTGGATCACTATCCTGACTTTCTTCACTATCATCTTCAGGAGCCACAAATATGACTTCCATAGTTATTTCTTTCTGCTATAAGTGTCAGAAAAAATTATTATTTTAATAAAATTAGTTTTTAAGTAAATATATAGTCATAAGTATATCAAACATCCCAAAGCCTTATATATATATAGGGGTTTGGGATGTTTGATATAATTACGACTATATATTTACTATACTATTTACTACTATATAACTATATATATATATCCAAACAATTGCCTTAAATAATAGGGCTATAAATCTGCTATTTTAATAATTAATACTAAGTAATTTTCTACTAGAGGTAGATGTTAGGTGCCATCTCTTATTAAAATTATAATTATTAATTTAGATAAGAGATGGCACCTAACATCTACATCTAGTAGCAAATTACTTAATATTAATCATTAAAATAGCAGATTTATAGCCTTATTATTTAAGATATCATTTGGTTATGTATCTAAATATATAATCAAATTACAATATAACATGACAGAGAAATCTTTATCTGAATTCTTAAAAACCAAGATAAAACTATATAACTATCAAAAATAAGAGTTTATTGATGATAAAGTACAGAAAAATAAATATAGAAACATCCTTAGAATATCCTTAAGCTTGTTTTTCTCAGTCATTTGTTTCAAATCAAAAAGTAATCTAAAATTCAGTAAACAAAAATATTTTTATCATCAATGAACTATTTTGCTTTAATATATTAAAAATATTTCAATATTATGTTATTTANCAACGCCGGGCCCACCTGCTAGTAAACTAATAAATTATGTTCTTATATTGAAAATAGTAAAGAGTAATTGTATATTCTAAGTTATATTATGTAAATTACAACTTGCTTTTCAAGCTCTATTAATTTTTCTTCTTGTAACGGTGATAAAGATACAAGATCATTATTTTCATAATTAGAACTTTTTTCATGAGATTCATCTGCTGAGGACTGACTATTGCTATTTTCTTGTCTAGTAAGTGCTGGAGATGAATCATCAGTTGTAGCACTGTCTTTAGTGTCTTCTTTACTACTATCTTGACAATTTTTTTCTAAATCCATAAATGGATACCTAAAATACAATTAAAAATTCATCTCAATAAATATTAATAAGGCTAATGTAGAATAATATATAAACTATCAATTTATGAAATATTACATGTGAAAAGTTATATACTCTACAGTAGTTTGTCAAATACTGTTTTTAATATGTAAAAACATATAAGTATAAATGCAATCAATTATTAAAAAAATTGTTTTATCATATCTTATAAATTATTTACTGCTTTTACTATAAAATTTTTGGAAGTATAATATTTATAATTCATATTTAATAAAATATGTTGTGTGTTACATTTTAAAAAAAGTAATATTAGAAGATTTTTATTAATCAATCTAACCTTAAATTGGTGATTAAGCAATGAAGTGATTTATTCTGTGTAAGTTTAAAATATGTTTTTTTCTATAGCACTAAAAAAATAACTTAAAATTTCAATAATTATATTAAATAATAACAGCAGTAGAAAGCATTATAATTATCCATTTTTTAATATTATGTTGAATTGTTGTGCATGAACAAGAACATCTGGGTCTTGTTCATGCACAAACAATACATATAAATTTGATAAAGACATGTTACACTATTAGATACTCTTTTAAAGAATTTTCTTTTACTAAAATTATGAAAATAACTAATTTATTATGCTGATTATTTATTATATTAATTTTATAGTTTTAAAAAATTATGGAACAATTTTTTACATATCATAAGAAGATTAAGATAGTAATCCTAGTAAACATAAGCTTAGGAATGCATGTTTTCTTGAAAATAGTTGCTTTTAACAAAATTTAAACTTTAAAAAAACATTGGAATTATTTGAAGGATTTAGTTTATCAGCAAGAGTTCAATAGTGAAAAGAGTTCAATAGTGAAAAAAGCTCAAATAAAACACAAACTTTAAACTCAAACAAAATATCCCCTCCTTTTTCCTTTTTTTGTAAACTTCCATCCTGTGAACAGTAACAGGGTCTTTTTTCATGCCCATTATGGGTTTGGCCAGGCCCACAATGGAAGCAACCAGATGGTGAGAGATGAGGCCTGATATATCCAGGATGAATTACTCAAAAAATTCCTGAGATTATGAAACTTATGGAGAAAACAGAAGACACATTTGACACTTTTATAATAATTTTTCAAATGTGCATAAACTGAACATTAAGTAAGATAAGTAAAGACTAAGTGAAAATTCTCATATTAAAAGCCCTCACAAAACAATTGAAAATTAGAGCTTGGAGATCTGTTATTATTATATATTTATATAATAATAAATATATAAGATCTCCAGATATAATAACAGATATGTAAATAATAATAATAAATATATATTTATTATTATTATTTACATGTAACTTATCCAGTACTGTTTACCTGCTAGTGCCTTTAAAACAGTTAGCAGCACTGGTTACGACTGATGATAATAACTAATAAAAATTGCATATTATCAGCCATATGCCAATGCTAGTACAGTAGACCCCCCTATAACGCTTAGATACGTTCCACACTAACCGAAAATTACGTTGTAGGAATGATTAAATACATGAGCCAATCGCAGCCCGATAGGTGGGAACTTTACGGACTAAGGCTGTTTGAAAGGTTTTCTTCTATAAAATTAACCGATTCTAGACTAATTCCACTCAACATTTCCAAAATACGTATAATTTTTTGGGAATAATCTGTATAAACTATGCTATAAACAAAAAATTATAGGATTACTTACCGAGTGTGTACCGTTCGACTACGCCGTTGCTTAAAGCTGGTTTTCATCGCGGAACAGCACA